CCCACCTGCTGGGTGTAAGTTGGTATAACTGGGTAAGACTATAGGTGATAGGGGTGGGTTAACTTAGATGGTCGTTATAGTTATGTAATGACTTTAATTACTTAATAAATATATGCTATTAGCACCTTTTACCTGAAAAAAAAATAAAATAAAATAAAAATTCAACATTAATTAATTAATAATTTGGTATAAATTTATTAATAGTTTATTAATAATTTATCAACAATTCATTAAAAATCAGATAATTATTTATTCACATTAATCATTATATTAACTATTTATTAAAAATTTGATAATTATTTATAAAACTATTTATTATAAATTTTACAATTATTTATTAAAAATTCAGTAACTATTCATCTATTATTTAATAAAAATTTATAAAACTTGTAAAAAAAATCATTATTTATATAATAATATATAATTAATTAAATTATAATAATATAAATTACATATTATATATTATATTATAGTTTAAATTATTTATAATTTATAAATATAACTTCAATTTCTAAAAATTTGTATATAAGTAAGTTTATCAATTTTTTTACTTTATTACTAATAAATAGTTAATAAATTTTTAATAAATATTTTTAATGATTAGTTGATAAATTTTTAATAAATAGTTTTGATGAAAGTTGTCAAATTTTTAATTAATAATTGATAAATTTTTATGAATAGTTTTGATGAATAGTTATCAAATTATTAATAAATTATTAATGAATTTTTGATAAATTAATATTGAATTTTTATTGAATGCTAATAAATAATTTTGTGATATACTTTTATTGAATTGTTAATTAATTATTTAATGAATTATTAATAAATTTTTTGATAAATTGATAATAAATTATGAATATACTAATTTTTGCAATATTTATAGTCAAATTATATAATTATCAATTTATTTATGGCATTTTTTTGCTAAATATTACATGAGTAGCAGTATGTCAAATAATTTTTCTTTGATTAATACTAGATTAGACATATTAAAAAAAAATTTGAAAAAATTGAACTTAAAAAATAAATAATATTTTAAGATCAATTTAATTATTTTTTATATATTCTATATATCTTTTGAAATTAATGAAAATAAATACTTTCTTGATAACTTATTTCCAATAAATTATAAGATATTGTAAATACTTATAAAAATAATATATTGAATATATGAAATATCAACAATTAATATAAAACAAAAAAAAATAAAAAAAAAATCATACATTAAAATTGGTTTAATATATTATAAAAAGAAGAGAAAATATAGTAGATAATAAAATTACTATTCAAGAAGAATCGATTATAAAGTCTTGCAATGGAATGTATAATTATTTATATAAAAATAAAATTGAAGGTAATTTAATATAAAAAAATACTTGAGAAATAATTGAGAAATATTATTGAAGAATTAAAAGAGGTTTTAAGAAAAAAAAATTTTGAAACAATACTGTATTGAAATATTTCAATAGAATTAGAAAATTAGAATTATTAAAAAACTTTGAGAGTTCTATAGTGATAAACTTTAGACTATAATCTTTTTGAATAAAGAATGGTTCAGATCAATAAAGGAAGTGAAATATTATCCTTCAAGTTATATCTAGAGAAGAGTAAACTTCAATTGTAGGTGAGTTGATAAGTGAATGTCAACAATTTGTAAAATATCTTATAAATATTACACAATAAAGTCAATTCATATTAGCCTGATGGTAGGTTTAAAAAATAAATATACTGTAAGTAAAATGAGATTACAGTATATGTGCAGTATATCATTTTTTACAGTATTCTTGAAAATTTCTTCAAAATGCTTTTACCAAACAAAAGATTAAATTTTTGTTTTGGCAATTATGTTGAATGTTTAATTCCGTTCGTGATTAATTTTTGACATTAACGATTTCGCAGAGATCAAATGAATCTCTGGTTGATATTTTTTGGTAACTGATAACCTGATTACGTAAAGTATAACACAGTACGTAATTTATTATCTTTGTAAAAATCATTTTCAAGGTGTGGGCATTATTGAGATGGGTGGGAAGCTACTGTTACTTTGACATTACTTTCGTTTATATACAGTGCATTCAATAATGTCGTGCGATCGCATAAGTCCGGACATCCCCATTTACCAAGTACGTAACTACAGTATGTACCGTATGTATGGTTAATTACATAATGTACTGTATATTAAAGTTTCAGGTATGCGTACATGTTTTTGATGTACACTTATTGGTATCACTTACGGCGACCTTGAATTTATTATAAATAGAACGCTTTGTTCGAAAGCCGCACACGTATTAGAAATGGTTTCTGATGCATAGCCTTTTTTTTATTAATAAGCCAATATCATTATTGTATGCATATATTATGCGTGTCTTGACTCCCGAGAAATTTTTTATTTGTTATACTTGTAAGCAAAATGTATTAAATGAGATTGGTGCCAAACGCATAAAGCGGTTGTTTCATAATGGTTGAAATTGGTCTCACGGAATTTTAAATCCTCAGCGTGCCATTTGAATCCAACGTTACGTTGCATGCAAAAACTTAGAAGCAGTGACACTTAAATGTTAAGGAGTGCGTATATGTTGATAAGGAAGGAAAAATTATGCGATGTACAGTACATCCAGATTTCTGCGTCAATCCATCAAAATAAATGTCTCATTTAAAGGGCATCAAACCAGTCCGGTTTAGTCTCGTTGTCGAATTTTGGTTTTCTGCTTACCGTGTGCATTGACAGACAGTTTGGTCTTATCAATTTGATAAGAACGCTTTGAATGACCGATAAACCCAACAGATAAACCCTTGTCCGTCACTTGACTCATATTGAAGTTGCACAATTGCCAGTCTGGATCGCTTATCTCCTGCCTTTATATACACCTCAAAGATTATCGTAGAATTTGAAATTTATCTTTATTTTCTTTGTCCTCAGAAGCAATAAATTTACAACTTTTGGACATACTTGTGCGTGAACATCGATTCTTTCTTACCAACCCACGCACGCCTCTTTACGTTTAAATATCTATCCGTTCTGTGAACCATCTGTGTATCGAATTTGATTCCTGTTCCGATAGCGGAAAGAACTTTTTTTATAATACAACTTTTCGATTCGTTCAAAGAAAATGTTTACCGACACTCGATGGGCCAATGTAGAAAAAAAATTTAAAAATAGACGGCACACCGATCCACAAACAAGCTCTTACTCTTCGGAAAGTCGTCACAGCGACATCATAGATGATTTTTGTAATAGCACCGATACCATGTCACCATCACTCAGTGAGGGCGAGTCATCAAATATAGGAGGTGGAGAATACTTTCTCCCCAGTAATTCCGATAAGGAAATAGAGAGACTGCAGATGCAACATTTCTTAATGCGATGCATCTGGAAAGAAAACTTTTCGTCACCCATAAAGGAAGATTTCATTAAAGGTGGAGTCAAAGTAATGGACATCCAGTAAGTTTTCTCAAATGTTGACCATTCATATTTTTTCTTGAACCGAAAGAAAGACGTTTATCACATGCCCCCTTCGTCAAAAAATAGATGTGGATCAGGTATCATTCATGGCATCGGTTTTTCTTACGAGTAGCAAATATCATAACATGTCTCTCAATGTGTGAATTCCTCTTCAGGAGTGTGGATTACCGACCTGGCGACAGAATTCACGGCGTCGACATTCATCGGTGTTGACGGTGACGAAGCACGCGCTCGAATCCAAATAGAATTGCCAAATGCGGCGTACCTTCATCACGACCTATTAGATGAATTACCTTTTCCTGGTGAGTAATCTCCTTGAGCTCCACAATGGAAAGTAAAAGGTCAACAGCAATGAGTCTCGTGTACTTAAATCGTTTGCACATTGCGCCACGCTGTAAATAAAACCAACCAGAAAACACATTCGATTTCGTGAATCAACGCTTTTTCACAATGGCATCCGAGGAGAAGTGGAGAAATTACGTTTTACCCGAAATTATTCGCGTAACCAAGACCGGTGGATACATGGAATTCATGGAAATGGGAAATTGGCAGGAAATGGGGAAGGTGACGAAGCGCATGACTAAAGCATGTAGGTCATATAGCTGTGATCATCGTGATGGTGGTGGCATTAAAAAAAAAAGAAAGAAAGAAAGAAAGAAAAAGAAAACTCATTGTCCATCAATCTAATTTCATTGCGTTCAGACGATGATTATATGGAAACGCGTGGAGTTTATCGTTTAAACCCTTCCTCGGTAGAGAAAACACTGAGATCCACCAATCTCATCAAAAATATCAAGTGCGACTCAAGGATTTCACCATTTTGGGGCGGCCAGGCGTCTCGATTGGTAAAATTATTCGCACACATTTTTTTTTATCGTTCATCGTGGATTCCGTCGGAACTGGTTCACCGATTATTTTTATTCTTTTGCTTTCCCGTAGATTTGCCGAAATCAAATTGAAAAGATCGCGGTAATTAGATCGGACATGTGTAAATTCCTGAATATTAGCGAAAGAGAATTCAACGAAATGATAGAGGCGATGCACGAAGAAGTTAGAATTCACAAGACCTTTTCTATATCATATAGGTATGTTGAAGAGCGTCTTGGTGAATCCATTTTTCTTACTCACAAACGTCCACCTACTGATTCACTTCCGATTAAATAATTTTTAGAGTCTTTGGACAAAAAATTTAATAATAATAGACTTTTTTCTTTGAAGCATTCAAGATTTATTGGGGAAAGATTTCTAAATGTTATTGGATTCACTTGTATAAATTTTGATACATTGTAATATTTATCATAACATACAAACTTTTTTCATGATGATGAGATGGTGAGAATGTATATAGACTTTCAAGAATAAAAACACCCTCTCCTTTTGTTTTTAAACATTATCACGTGACAATTTGTAAATCTGTCATGAAGATGCATGAAATGTGTGATGATTTCTAGGCGTTGCGTGAATGGTGTTAGTCTTCGGTCTTCGCCGACGATTTCACGGTCAATGCCAATCGTCGTAAAGCCTCAGGTATTCGAGAATCGGCGTACGATATGAGAGTATTACTTTTCGGTGACGAAAAGAAAGAGAGAGACAAAACAGTTAGAAAATTCCTTTCTCTGCAGAAGAGGCGCATATTTTTTCTTGGACCTTTCACACATACCAACTACGATTAGAATAACGAGCAAAATCGTAAATCGGAATTTCCAACTGGTCGTTTCTCCAGGTTTTTCAATCCGCATCGTTCGTGCGTGCGTTGATTGTTTGATTGGAATCACGACCTCGAGTTTCTCGCTTTGGGAATAAGGGTATTCCCAATAGGCACTTGGATTTTTAGCAGGACTGTGGTGATGTAAAGGTAACGGTGACGACGAAGACGACGATAATTTTGACATTATGTTTTCGGTGATTCTGTGAAGTTTACTTGACAGCGATGTCGACAATCCTTGTGGTCGTTGGTTGTAGCTTGATGGCTTTGAGAGGTAAGAGTTTTCAAGGTCGAATTCTTCGTCGACGAAACTTGTCGACTGCGTCGTGTCATACATCGACGAAAATATCTTGGAAATTTTGATTTGTGATCTAGTGTTGTTGCTGTTATTATGAGTCATCTGTAATTTTTTTTTCTATTTCTATCGATTGACGACAATAAAAGTGAATCGAATTGTTCTTCCCGGAGTCCTTTAGCAAAGAGGAGAGGAAATGAAAAATTAGTCTTATATACTGTATATACTGTATATAAATCTCCATCCATCAATCGATTGATTTGATGCCACAAATGGATAAAATGGATGATGGATTGCATAATTACGAAATGTTATTTGATCTAAATGATTTACGTAAATGGTCTACTACGTGTATGTCATCTCATCTCATCATGTGAGTGGAGAACTAGATTTGGATCAGCCGACTACGTAAAAATGGACAAAGGAACCCTTTTTTACAATGCCTTTCCGTGTCCCCTTGTTTCCAAATTCGTCAATGGAAGGGGTCATACCTTTGACCCGTTTGGGTAAATAGGATACGGCATGCGATTGATTGCGTATGCGATATTCCTGGATATTCGCATTCATGCTGGGGTGCGCGTAAAAAATGTGAATTTCGCTATTTACGATTAGTGAAAATTGGTTTACGCATTATCATCCATGTACGTACGATGTGCATAATTGACTGTTAACGCAATGATATGTATGCGTCATACAGCTCGGTCCATCTTCGCACACCACAATTTCTTTAGCGACCATATGGGGATGAAAAAATTCGCTTGTTTCTTCTATGGTAGTCTCATGTTTCCGAAAGTTCTTTTGAGAGTACTCGAAGGGGGACGCCAAAAGGATGACGGTCCGATAGTTGTCGAGGAAGGAATACCGGCAACATTGAAGGTATGGATAATCTCGATTTAAGGGATTCACATTCTTCGCGCTTGTAACAACTGATTGAACCGTCGTAAAAGGGATATAAACGTCTCAGGGTATTGGGTGCCTCTTATCCGGCTCTCATTAAAGACAATGATTCTGAGACACAGGGAATCCTAATCAAAGGCTTAACGTCCGGAAATGTATCAACCCTGGATCATTACGAGGGCGACGTAAGTGCACATACCAAAGAGTCAATTTAACATTTGATTTTATTAATCTAACTGTTACGTTTCGGAATAGCAATACACGAGGATAAATGTCGAAGTCTTTCCAAACAATTCAAGAGACAGGGGGCAATCCGAAGATCTGATATCGGCTCAAACTTATTTGTGGATAAGTTCATCTGACTTCTTGGAAGATCAAGATTGGGACAAAGAAGAATTCGAGAAACAACTCGAGAATTATCTTAGGGAAGAAGGTCTTAAGGATTAGATATCGTATTTTACACAGTGTAGCAAGAATGCACATGACGATGAAAAGGTCTCTTTTAATTTATGACCAAGAGGCCAGAGATAATGAACCTAGGCCTTCTGAGCAACGAAGTTATAAACCACGAAACAAGAGTGGTTATCATTGAATTCTTTAAAGCATCTTTCGATAAATTCATCAAATTCATGTTTACTTTTATGAGCTGTTGCTTCGGTAAAAAGATCTTGATGCATCTGCATCCAGGCTTTCCAATGATTCGCCGTGTCGATGCCAGTCTGAATCAAAGAATGTTGGCGAAAATTCTAAAAAAAAAAACATCAATGCAGATTTCATGATTCCATTTACCTTTCCGCCGTATTCACCCAACGGAATATCGTGAGACTTCTCTCGAACATCTATATACCCGTTTTCCGATAAGACTTTACCAAGATTGCAAATTTCCTCGACACGAAGATTTTCTTCTCGTGCCTTGCGATGCCAAACTTCTTCTAGCACGGCATTCGTGGGTCCCTTTGATCTAAGTGCAGGATGAATATTTTTCATTGTGGAATAAAGTTTTAATAAAGAATATCGAAAATCTTGCTGCCCAATACTGAGAATGGTTACCTGATCTCGTGACCTGGTTCCTTTACGAAAGAAGTTAACGAAACTTATAAGACGAGTTTACTATTATGCTTGATGACATACCGTGAACTCGATCCAGCCGCCTCTCTTGAGGACTCTGGTTAACTCTCTCAAAAGAAAGTCAAATTTATCCCTTCGAACCGTTATCATTGTATACCTAAGATATATGTAGTCGAAGTACTCGTTCTTTGATATTAGTGACGTATTTTCATTAGATTCAATCGACTGTTAATAATAGCAGATGACATCCCTGAACCCGACCTTACCGGATAAGGAATTCCCTCTACGAATTTTTTTTTTTTTTAGAATTTTAAGATTCCCTTGTGTGTACATGAAAAGGGACGGATGTATTTGGTTTTTGCATACCATAAAAATCCTTTTTCTCAAAGTGACAATTGTGGGGGTAAATATCGCTTGGTGTGATTGGCTCTACGTCCAGTCCGTAGAAATCACAATCTGGGAACTCACTAACATGGACGGATCATAATGAAGATTGGATTTTAAACATCTCGAATACATTGCAATCACTCATTACCTTGCCAACTCCATCATCAATATTCCACTAGAATAACTATTATAATGAAAACCGTTAATTGGGACTAAAAATATTACGGGCGGTCATACAGTATAGCTTACCCTAACTCCAGGCATCTCTGGTTTTTTTTTTTTTTTTTTCATTAAAAAAAGTTCCTTTCTTTTGTTGGAAAAGCTTTTGCAGGTCAATTTTCATGAAAACAAACCTTGATATCTTGCGTCAGCGGCGCAGAATAATTCCCGAAGGTGCATTTAATAATTTCGTGCTAGTGACAAACAAATCAATGATCGAACGCAAGTCGTAATTTCTTATTTCAATAGAACTTACCAGCAGCGACGATTGATCAATCTATTCTCGAGGTATCGGCAAGACGTGCATGATGTTTGTTAGTTTAACGAATATCACCTAGGATGCCTCTAAACTTTATCGAGTTTTACCTTTTTGTTAGTGACATCGTTTGATTCGAGCGAACCGACTTGGTATATTTCCGTGGAATCTTCGGATGAACTAGCTTCATCGTTACTAAAATTTTCAGCGCTTTCCACTTGCATCGACATTTCGTTATAAAATACAGCTAATTAAGGAATGGATGTTACGAAAAAAATATTTATTTTTTTATTTCAACCATTCAATTAAGAAAATTCATTGCCTAATAAATTTAGATACGGATAGAATATAGTTAGAAAAATTATTAATAATGATTATTATTATTCACCCGAAAGAAGTTCGTCCAGTAAATGCTAATGGAAAAGAAGGTATCGTATGTTTCTGATGGATTCCATACTAATGGGGTTGTACCCCCGCATGTGTGGTATGTCGCAAGTGGGAAAACATATTTTCCGAGAACTTGATGCACAGTATATTTACATTTTTTTTTTTTTTTAATTAACCTGACTGCGGGTAAAAAACAAATATGAAATAATAAATTAAATTAATATAAACGAGGTAAAATAAAATATAATAAAAATTAGGTTAAACTATTGGATATAGTATATAAAGTTATCGCATACTGTCAAATCTTGTTATAACGAATGCACTCTATGAAGAACTTTTTTAAAATAGATTTTATTATAGATTTCGGTATAAGAGCATGGTAATTTGCAAAAAAAGAGTTGGATTTTAAATTATTAAGAATGAACTTTTATATTTAATAAAGTTTTATATTACAAAAAAATTAAAATTAAATTTATCCTTAAAAATAATATACTGTAGATGATATATTTTATTAAAAAAAAAAACAAAAAATTTTTCTAAACTTATATTTTATCATATCTTATAATCTCAATGAACTTAATAAATAGTAATCAATTAATTATTATTTTAAAAGTAACTTTAAAATATTTTAAAATTCATATTTTTTATTTTTTATTTTCTATTAAATTGATTATGCATATTTTATTAAATTTTTATAAACTAAATATATATTATTTTTTTTAGACTCTTTGTCAAGTTAGGCATATGTGCTTTATTAAATATTTATATACGTTACATTAGGAAATATATTGCTAAAGCTAAATCTCTACCTAACTCACTTGTCAATATTTTGAAATTTATCAAAACTCTAAGTACAACTTCAAAAGTAATATATCACTCCATTAATAGTTTAGGTAAAAACCCTTTTAATTGTCAACTTTATTATCTGCAAGTCATTATTGCAGATTATTCTGTGATATTCTAACAGAGCTCAAAATCCAATTACTTTATTTCATACTTCATTCTTTTTGTTAGAATTTCTTGAAGGCTTTCATCTTTTTCTAGATTTCCTACTTCTGATAATAGTTCTCTTCTCTTAAAAGATATAGTTTTCTAATCTATAAAACTTGAAGATCTTTTTATTTTGTTTGCTCTTCTGATTCCTTATATCTGTTTCTATTCAATTATCTTCTTGCATTTCTTGTTTCAGATTCTTTTTTGAACTTGATTGCAAACTCTTTTTTATATCTTTAATATACATTTTTTTGCTTCTTTTCTTATATATTTTTCATGATATTTTAGATTTACTATTTTTAAAATAAGATTATTTTTTATTAAACTAATACAATAACTTAGAATATCTTAACTAGTTTTAGAAATCCATTCCATTAGTTTAGAAATCTATTTGTTAAACTTTTCTAGTTCTTCTTGATTATTGATAATCAGCTTGAATTTTTTTCTATACCTTTTTTTTTTTTTTTTATAAAAACCCTTTAAAGTTTCTAATAATTTTATCTACTTCTTTGTTTTATGCTGCTTATAATTGATTTTATAAGTTAAAAATTTTAACAAATATTCTATAGTTTTTTCTTGTTAACTATATGCAATACATTTCACTTGCTCATATATATCAAGTCTTCTTATAATCAATTTATTTAATATTAATAATTTATTATTAATTAGTTTGATGAAAAAGTTTTTTTGTTGAGATTTTTTGAAGGATGTATTCCATATGTATCTATCTTTAATTCTTTCTACACTAGATTTCATATATAAAATTGATACTCTAAAATTTAATGACTTTATTTTTTCTTTATTTTGTTTTGCTATACCTATTAATAAACTATTGTCTTATTGATAATATTCTTAATGAAATATCCAATTAGATTATCTAAAGATTTATTTTATTACTTAATTTCTATAATAATCTTATATAAGATGAAATCTTTTTATTTAATCAGTAAAAGTTTTGGGACTTCTTTAACAAGAATAACTATTTATTTTTTATAAGAATTATTAAAGTATACATTAACTTTGATAAGCTTCAAGTCTATATTTTTTTATAGCTCTATTATTCATATCTAAAAAATTAATTTTTCTTTTTTAACTATCTTTTATAGATTTTTCATGAATTTTCTTTTCTTATTGTCTTCCATTTTGAAATATATACTTGATTATCTCAACTGTGTTATTAATAGAAACTACCAGGAATATTATTATAATTATTACCAATTCAGCCTTTATAGAAAATAATCTATTATTTACTTCTATTTGAAACTAGTATTTTCTTCCTGCTTTTCTATTTGAATCCAAGCAACTTTTATTTTAATTTTTTCTTTTTTATGATTAATAAGTGGTTTATTAGAATAAAAAGTTTGTTTTTCTTTAGATTTAAAGTTAAATTGAAGTATTTTTATTAGGTAATCTTTATATGCTTTTTCTTTGATATTTTTCCTGATAATAGTTTCTTTCCAGATTTTAATATTTATATTATTTACTTTGCTATTTTGAATCATAAAGGGTTTTGATCATTATAAATTACTTTTTTGATTCTTTTTTTTTTTTGATATTGTTTTAGAATTGAAATTTTTTAGTTCTTATATTCTTTTAATAGATTTTGTTATATTAAGATATGATACTAAATATATTTTTTCTATATCTCCTACTATTATATAATAGCTATTTTATATTATACCTTCTAAATATTTGAGACATTTTTGAAAGCTAGTTTTTTTATTATTATTCGTACTACAACAAGTAAAATATTCCACTATTACTTTATGTCCCTCTTTTCTTAATATAATTTTTTTCAAGTTATTTGATTTCTTTCACATCCTATCTTTATTCACAATTTTTGTTACTTATCTTGATTAACTTTTATTTTGAAGTATTCTAATTCTCATTTTCTTTTCAAGTTTTTATAAGTTATTTTAGCTATTTTTTTAAAATATTTTTTAGCTATAGTTTGAAAATATTTTGGAATAGGTTCTTTATTTTTATTTTGTAAAAGCCAAAACATTTACCAGTCTCTTATTTTCTTGAATTCTTAATCAATTGTCTAATTAAAATATATCAATCTATTATTTCTAAGTAATAATATAGCTTTTTTGTATTTTTCTAATATAATATATTCATTAATCAGACTATTTTTCTTATTTTATTCAAAAATACAGTATCTTACTATTTCTAACTTCAAAAGGTTATTTCCATATCTTTTGCCAATTTGGTTGCATGAAGTATAAATTTATCTTTATCTAATAAGTAATTTAGTGACTTGTAAATCAATAAATTAAATGGTTCTCAATTTTTAATCTGTGCTTGTTTGAGTCTAATAATTGTTGTGATTTCTACTGATTTTAGATCATTTAGTCTATTGCATAGTCATATTATTTGACTTTCTCATTGTAGTATTCAAATATTCTTCAAGTTGTAAATCTTTGGATAGTGAATTATATTATTGGATATGGATCTACATAAAACACTCTTATCCTTGAAAAGTTTTCTGTATGCTGTTATTAAAATATTATATATTTTTAGAACAATATAACATGTTGCATTCAAAATTATATTCTAGATATTAATATTCTATTTAAAATATAGAGAACTTGTTTATATATTATTTTTTTTCTTAAAAGTTCTAATTATATTAGTTAAAAAAAATTATTTAATATATTACTATTTATATAACATCAGTAAAAAATAAATAATTTGGTAAAAAAATAATATTAATAAATTAGTAACTATATAATTTGACTATAAATAATATAAAAATTGATATATTCATAATTTATTAAAAATTTGTTAAAAATTTTATTAACAATTCATTAAATAATTCATTAACTATTTAGTAAAAATTCATTAACAATTCAATAAAAGTTTATTATAAAATTATTTATTAATAATTTATTAACTATTTATTAAAACTATTTATTAAAAATCTAACAAATATTCATTAAAAATTTCTAAACTATTTATTAAAACTATTTATTAAAAATTTGGCAACTATTTATCAATAATAAAATAAAAAAATTAATAAAATTATACATGAATTTTTCTGAATTAAAGTTATATTTATAAATTATAAATAATATAAACTTTTTTTTTAACCTGCAGTTAGTTTAGCATAATATATTTTTATTGTATATATGTTAAATATTTATGAATTGTGGTAACTTTTACATACTATCTCACTTATCATCAAAAATCTATTTCTCTAAATACAATTTAGGAAATAATATTTCATTCCTTTACTAATTTGAATAATTTCTCTAATTAATAAAATAATTATTTATAGATCATTACTATAGATAATTTTAATCTTAACTGCAGTTACAAATTGAACTATAACAAATCCAATTCTTAATAACTACTTTATACTTCTTTTCTTCTTTTTTTTTTAGTACCTTTCAGGTTTGAGTTTTCTGAAAGTAGTAATAACACTTTTTGATTTTATTTGAACTGTACGTCAGGTTTGTACTTATGTCTTTTATTTTTTTTTATCTTTTTCCATAATATTCTGCTTCTTTTCCATTCTATAACTTTAATACAATAATTATTTCAAATCTTATTTTTGAAGTTTACTTGCATCTTTTAATAGAGCTTACTAATTATACTTTATATAGTTATAGATAGAATCTTGAGCTATCTTTAAGATACTTCTTTAAGAAGATAGTCTTATCTTTTTTTTTATATTCACAGATAGTATTGAAAAGGCCTTATCAGTTTTTTGGATTTTTTTCAATCATTTATCTATTTAGTTACTTGTTACAAGTTAGACTTCTTCCTTATCTTTTACTTCTTTACTAATATATTTGTTAATCTTTTCATTTGCTTTCTATTATATGTCTTCTCTGATTTTTCTAAT